AAGCTGTAACTTCTTTACCTGTTTCAACTTTTTTACCTCTCTTTAAGATAAACATCCAAAATTGTGAAGGACATTCAAGCTTGGAAATGAGAAGAGACAGAAAAAAAAATCCTTGCCATGGCCTAGCATTAGAAACTTTCGTTTTTGTAAGGACATCATTAAAAATTTTATCACGGTCTCTTTTGTCTTTGCTTTCACCTTTGGGTTAAAAAGTAAAAGTTAAAAAAAATCGATAAGGTTTGGTATAATCAAAGATATTTAAACTCTGAGTTTAAATATCTTTGTCGTAATTACAATACGACGGAAAATATTATGTATTAAAACCAAATTGGCAAAAAATGGATGTTTATCGTTTTCCCGTGTGCTCTTCGTTACCAAAAGGAATATAACAAATACCTTCAGTGGCTGAGGCAGGAAAATATTATAGCAGGGGACGTCGATGACATCGTAACGAGTAAAATGTTCATCAAAGTTAAGTTGTTTTTACAGATTTCCGGGATATTTTTAAAAATTCCAGCTGGACCATCCCGGATACTTTAAACATCCGGACGTATAGAAATTCTACTTATAACAACTTCAAGATAACAACCTAGACAAATTTGGACTTTGCGTAACGAAGTAATAATCGCCGAGGCGCATAAAGCATTGTTATCTGCTCGTAATTCCGCTAAAAGCAATAAATTGAACTAGAGCTCGATTGTTGTACAGCTATATTAGCTGCAAGTCGATTTACAATTGCCCGACTCATGTAATTAACGGGATTACATATACCGGTTAATTGTAATTTTTTCCTCGTCAACCCTATATACCGCAGAGGTATTGTTTGACGTTGACACCCCCAATTGTACAAAAAAACCTTTTAACAAGACCATTATCCCACAACTGACGTCGTAATAATTAGTGGTCTTTGCTTATACGTCACGCGTATTTAATACCGCAGTTAAGTAATCATTACATATATTTTGTTATTGATTCGTGTCTTTTTTTTTCTATTATTCGACGCACGGAACTCCCGACTTTTTTATTTTGCCTTATAATTATAATAAAACTTAATCAATAAATGGATATATTTGGGGTGGTATCCCAGGAACATGCTTATAAATATTTTCTTTTTGTAAGAAATATTTCAAAATAATTTTTAAATTTTCAGTTAAATGAACATAATATATTGAAAATATGGCAACATAGGTTGTAGATTAAATTTAGAGGAACGAAAATGGAAAAATCCAGTGGTTGTCAAAATTTAAAAAACATATTTTTTTAATTTTCTAGGTAAAATTACTGTGCTATTTTGGATTTATTTGAAAAAATGCGTTAGAAAAATAGAAAATACGTTTATTGAGATCTACCAGCACTTTTTTTTTAATTAATACTCACTCTTTATATACAAGCCCAATTTTATTACTTCTTTCTCCTCGTTTTTAGATTTTTCTATAAAATATAGATCGAAATCTATAAGTTATTTATTATAGGAGCCTTTGTTGTTGTATACCTGTTGTACACCCTGTGTATGATACGTAGCTAGGAAGATAGGACAACAATGGAGAAAAATAAATCTTTTAGAGCAAATTTTTAAGTATTTGTAAAATATTTATAGGACATAAAGATTTTAATAGCAAGCGAAACCGTATAAAAATAAACGAGTTAGGATTTTTACGAGTGGTAGGGATAAGCAGAGGTCCTATTGAATGCATGTGAAGGTATATACTTAAAGAAATTTAGATATAAAAATGACGATCGGGTAGCGTACATAAAACGCAGTGATTTTGCCGGAGTAATAAATGTCACTCTGCATATTCTCCTCCTGGACTAGCCCGAACGGTTTTAAATAGCCCCAAAAATTGGATCCGCCGTTCAATAACCATAAAAATATATGGCGTTTTCCAAGTTTGCGTTTAACAGCCGCGGGGCAATGTTTATAAAATAATGTAGTAAAATGAGCATTTTAAAGTCTAATACAGAACATTATAAGTAGATATAAACCTTCTTCAGAAAGTTGTAAAACTGGAATTATTCGCTTTTGCTCCCCTTTTGATGGCGTCTTGTAACAACCCGCTCATTAAAATAAGGCTTTATTCGTTATATACGCATTAATTTTCGGTCATTACAACTTTACTGATTTAAAAGATATTCAGTCTTGATCGTTGACTTTATATTAACACTTAATACCTCATAAAACACCACTGTTTGTACTGTTTACTTAGATTCTGCAATACCATTTTCTCAAGTCCTTGCTCTATTTTCTACAAAATACGTAAAAAAAAATACTTCTTAAAAGTCTTTGAAGATGACAACGGTTAAACAGATATGTCTGTCAATGAGAGCTGAAATACTTTTGATATATATATATAGTTATATACAAGGCGAGTCTTAAAAAAGTGCACATATTTTTAGTGGTGGTATATTTCGATCCCATTGGGCTTTTTGCAAAAATATGTTTCAGCACAGTTTTTCAAAATTTCTTTTTAAAAGCTTTTTTAATTTTCATAATAGCATATTCATAATATGACACCATTGACAGCATAGCTAGTAGATTAAATTTAGAGCAACTAAAATACAGAAAAGAATCCTGTGGTTTTCAAAATTTAAGGAAAAATATTTTTTTTCGCCTCAAAAAGATCTACCAGCCCTGAAAATATTTGTACTTATGTAAAACTCACTAGTTTTTATATTAATAGCCTGGGTATAAAGGCAAATTAAAAATAATTCTTATTTTCTAACAAATACTTTTTAAAAAATATTATCTTATAGTCCCTGTAAGTTTTGTTTAATTTTATAAAAAAAACAGTATAAACAGCTACTATCGATACAATTCATGGCCTAGCCCCTAGCAAAATAAAAATGGCCCCGCCATCAATAAACGTCATCATATTGACTGCTACAATTTCCCGCAAATGACTTTTTTATGTACAATTTCACATAATGCATGTTCATCCCTGTGTATCTGATGCACAATGGAGCGGTAACGCTCGCTGCCACGGCTCTATGAAACTGCACAGACATTTTTCCAAGCTACTAGCTTGGACCATTAATCTTGGTTTGTTAGATTTTCCAACGTTTATTTACTTTTCCGGTCAGAATATCTGGAAAAACGGGTCGCCACCATCTACCTAATTCGCCGATAATACCATTTGTCTTGGCCAAAAAGTCAGCCATCCATTTATATGCAGACGAGCCCTAATGCATGCCTGGTTATTTGTCTAAATCAAGGGGATCCGATTTTGCCATTTGCAATATTATTCAATAATTTTTCTTCAGACTTTTTTTTCTCCAGTTTATCCATTTTTCATTTCCATGTCGATCGATACTGATATTTGAAAATATAGTACGACGTGGATTACGTACTCTTTAGGTAGGTAGTTAACTATTAATTTAAGCATGCCTATTTGGTCTCTGAATAAAATACTTATTTTTTTAAATATTTTAATAAAAAATTTATCACCACTATTGCCAGTATATTTTGCTAAAAAAAAGGGAAAATGTCACCAAATACTGTTAATGTTTTTTTTTTGTAAATTTCGTTCGCAGATACATCTGAAAACATACCAGAATGAATTGTTTTTCGTTGATATAGCGGCTTGTATCAACAGCCTGTACAGCCTTATTTTATTGAGTGTTTTGGTGTGTATCTGTGTTTGATTTTATTATATTATTATTTATATGGCTTTTTTAATTAATAACATGGATTACCGACTAATAAGGTTAGCTAGCTATTAATAAAATAATAAATAAATTAAATTAAGTACCTTTTTCTCAATGAAATAAGTAGCTTGATAATTATGAATCGCCCGATATATTAAAATATTTTTGATATTTCTACAATATTGACCGAATTAATGGAGAAAATAAATAAATTAATATATCAAATAGCAAACTTTTTGATAAAAAGCTATTTCTGAACAGTGGATTTACCCTGCACGTCAATGTATAAGTATATATTGATCCAGATAAAATATTTACAACGTTTAACAGCTGCAAATTTTGTCAATAGTTGCGAGTTTAAAGAAATGGATTGAACATATTTTGACTTGCTCTACTATAATTTTTGTTCTTTCTACATATTTTTATATTTAGAAATAATAGAAATTATAAAGTGTCCCCCTAGTTGTGCCTCTTATTTAGAAAATGCTCGTATTGTTTGTTTTTTTTTGTAAAATTCCTTCTCAGTAACGTTTTGAGGTTAGTTATTAATAAGCATGTCTAGTTTCCATGGATTATTTAATATAGGGTGATAAATTCATATTAATTTTTCTTCTGCCATAATAGATACCGAATCAAAATAATATATGTTAGCTCTTAAACGCATCGGTATTGTGACCAGGCTTAACGCCCAATTTACCTCATAAAAATTCCCATGCCACAGGGCTGTTATTAATTAACGTACTTAAACTTTGACTGGGCGAATCATTCAAATAAAATGATTAGATGTCAGAGAGGTGAGCTTAAGTGAACGGTGACGGCTATATTGTGACGGTGACAATGGAATAAGGGCCGAACCGGTCATTTTTGCCGGCCCTCCGAGCTAAAAAGTCCCGTTTTTCGAGCCCACGAGATTTTGAATACGATTAAGGTGGCACATCTGACAATGTGCGAGAGATGGTGCAATTATAAGGAACTGCCCTATCATTAATAACCACCGTGTGCAAACACACTGTCATCGACCATTAACAGTATTAACAGTTTGTTAACAATAGCACGTCAACCGATGTGTGTGCACCTAAAGATATTCATCATTTTGCGCCTTGCCAGCTGATGCATATTTACGTATGGTAAATACCCTTTAAGCTGTCTTTTTTTTTGGTTTAAAAACCTTCAGTCCGGCAAGTCTTGTCTCATTTATTTTTTCTCGCGATAGACATATGCCAGGGCTACTTTTAATTGGTTTGCTCTGATTTATTGAAATCGACGTAAAAGTTAAATAAAACTTCTTTTTATTGGAGAAAATTTAGTACCAAAAGGGTTATCTAAAAGTCTTTGAACATTTGTTTCCTCTTTTACAGGTTCAAAACTGGACAATTTTAACAAGAAATGGAGAAGATATCGAACTGAATCTCATGATTAATCAGCAGGCAATGCCAGGCATCTTTATAGGATATTATTAAATTGTAAGTAGTTCGAACCTATTTTTATGATCTGAGTTTATGTTCGGAACTGACATATTTTGGAAATTTTGCACATCAAATATTATCTGTCTTTTATTTTTTTTAACTTTATTTTTAAAATACTAATATGAATATATCAGGGCCATAGAAAAAGTAGTAAAAAGTACTTTCCCTATGGCCAGAGAGGTCTTACATGAATAACATATTATATAGAGTAAGGGCGGTATATATCGAATAACCTTATAGTATATATCTATAATATCTTTTATCTATAATAAACCAGAAATTAATTGGGTATTTTGTAATAGCCAGTCTTCTTCTATTATATATATGCCTTTAATCTAATTTTTATACGAAGTTTATTGTATGTAGGTACCTTATTTTCTGGTTATTTTATTTTGTTGATTTTATTGATATATGTACTTGTATTTACTATTGGGTATATTTACAAAATAATATTTCCTAATCGGGTGTCTCTAAACGCAATTAACTTTGACGAACTTCTCAATAATAGCCTGTAATGATTTGGCGATTTGAGAGGTCAACTCCAGAACACGTTTAAAACTATAGCTACCCTTTGTCCAATGAGTCATACTGTCGGCATGTCCGGCCACTATGGACTCACTAACATATAGACAGCCTTATATTTTTTGCCATTGAAAAGATACTTTTAGAAAACTTTCTAATGCTACGACATGTGCATATTAAAACACGAGATTGATAGTTTTATTAAGGTTATATATATATCAGAAATTAAATTTTTGTATAAAATTCTACCAACTAAATAAATTATTCTTACTCTATCCATACTAAATATTCTTAAATATATTTACACATTTTTTTATATAAAATATGACGCATTTCGTATGACATAGTCCCATGTAACATAATATTTATTACGTAGAAAATACCTATTATTGTGACTGTAGCTCTTCAACACTACTTCTCTCTTGATTTTAAAGAAAACGATATTTCCTAGAATGTTATTTCCCTCAAATAATTTTCATTTATATTTTAAGAACAGTAAATTACGCTAACTTATTTCCCATATGTTTTAAAAGTTCTTGTTATCGTAGAAAATAATTTACTTAAAGTTTAGAGTTGCTTTGTTTCCAAAAAAGACGACTTCTATCAGATAGAAACTTCCTGGGTTATTGATTTTACAGAAAACTTTCATACTATGCAGTGCCGCGTACAACAAATGGAATTTTGTTGCTAATTAAAAAAATTAGTATCTCTTTTATATTATTTATATCTGAATAATAAATATTAATTATTTTTTAAACAGCGGAAGTGGTTTTTCAGACAAATACTTTTGTTTATCTTTTTCAAAAAGCATCTCTTAAATAAGTGGTCTGATTCTTGTGGTTAGAGAAAGAAAAAATTGTACAAAGGTGAATAATATTTCTGGAAATATGATGCGTTTTATCAGTGGTTGCCATATTGTTGAAATTTCCATACTTGGATTGTTAAAATTTTTATTATAGCTAGATATGAATACGGCCTCTGTAAATTTGCGCTTTTTCCCATGGGGTTCTTTGTGGACAGCCCGGGCTTCCGACCATTTTATGTTGTGGTGCTTGGACCACACATGATCTGCAATATCCGACTTTATTGTTTCACCTCGTTGCGTATGTTTTTTTTTATGTAGACGACGTTTTGTCTCTGCAATATACGACTCACGAGATTCCTGATCACTGCATATAGTGACTCCATGACATAATGCTTTAACTATACGTCTTTTGGTTGCTTCAGAATGGTTCGACTGAAGAATTTAAATATTGTCCCGTATGTGTGGGTTTTTTATATCCAGCAGTGCTAATGGATCCATCGCTTCTACTGACAAGATCATCTAGAAACGGTAGACAAAAGTTTCTCTTTCTCAATCGGGAATCTGAGTTACTTTCTATTCATTTCTAGCTTCTTCTGACCACAATACTATTCTATGGTAATTAGTTTCTGGTGTTTGTGGTTGAAATGAAATCAAACTCACAAAACAATCGAGTAGAATAATAAATTATAGCCAATTAATCAAACCAGTGATACTTTAGGAAAACAAGCTGCGCTAAAAAGCCAATTATAACGAATTTCGAAAATGACAAATGATCGAATTAGTGTAATATTCTTTTAATAATAGTATGCGGTGCGAATTAACGAAAACCCCAATGACAGTCCTATTAATTTCGACTATGTAGCACAATTGATCCATAAAAAAGAAAATATGACTTCCTGGCTGCCCCTAATTACACAGACAGGGGTGAACGCCTGGTTATTTATCCCCAAAGAAAAATTTTAAACCAGTTATTAAGCCGTGTCCCGATATATACAGAGTGATTTTCTTCGTAAAGGGTTTGCGTAAACTCCAGTATTTAGATTTCTCATGATAATGTTTACTCATTCAAAAAATATCATGTTAAATAAACCTTACAGTCCTACTTTTTAATCTTTTTTTAATGTTCGCTAGATATTATACCTTAAATTTCATACGATCGAAAAAAAATGGCGTGATCATGAGTGATTTTCTTCGTAAAGGGTTTGCGTAAACTCCAGCATTTAGATTTCTCATGATGATGCTTACTCATTCAAAAAATATCATGTTAAATAAATCTTACAGTCTTATTTTTTAATCTTTTTTTAATGTTCTCTAGATATTATATCTTAAATTTCGAAATAACGATCAACGAAAAAAAAATAACGATCGAAAAAAAAATGGCGCGAAAGACTGCTGGGGAATGACAATCTATGATAACTTTAGTGAGGTCAAACCATAAACGTCATTTCCTTGGCCTGTACTCTTTTTTATTTTTAATGGTGTTTACTGACAGTTGGCTTTTGTTTTTCTGGAAACTTTCTATCTTTTTTTATTATTCCTATAAGTAGTGTCAATTTTTGACAAGATTTATGTCACTTTTTATTTTAATAATTATTAAAAATGTAGTTATATAATGATTTAAATTAAGAGTAAATAAGGTTTTAAGGATACTTTACAATAACTAAACTACAGTTGTCAGATCATTTAGGATGTCCGTAGAAAGGAAATAAAAAATAAACAGGGTCGCTTGTATTTATGGAACGATCGATTATTAGGTAAAATATAGGAGGTACCGCAAAAAGTTAAAAACAAAACTTATAGGATTTTTAAATATCTATTAGCGAGTAATAAATTTAACAATACAGGGTCGTTCATAAAGTCGTGGCACATCAAAGTTTCATTTTTTAATTAGAACCCCCTGTATATTATTACATATTTCAATTCTTCCTTCAATTCCAAGCAAAAATCGAAATACACACAATGTACTTCAAACCAACCGTTTCCGACCTAACATATTAACAACTAGAGTATTTAGATACTGCTTTCTACCTAACCTAAGTAATTTATTTCAATTTTTGTGTACATAATATCATTACAACAAGTGATACTCTTGTAGCTCTTAAAACAAGTGGTCATGCATAAGTATGTTTATTCATAATTGATTAGCATATGATACGCATTTTCTATTTTCTGAATAACTTCATTTACATTGTTCTTGTTATCAATATCAAATTATTCTGTTAGAAAAAATATTCTCTAGAACTTTAGTTTTTGAAATAAATAAAATACTGCACACTACCTAAACTGCAAAAATATATCGCAAAGTATTGTTTCAACAAGTGCCATACACAAATCTATTATTTATTATAACAATAACACCTATTATATTAAATAAAATTATTAATTTATAATAGAAGTGTATGCCTAATAGTTAAAGAAAACACAACTTTCTATAACACATTAACAACTAGAGTATTTAAAATACTGCATGCTACCTAAAGAACAGAAATATGCAATAATATACAGGGGGTTCCATTTAAAGAAAATGAAACTTTGATGCGCAACGACTTTATGACCGACCCTGTATACTTAAATTTGTTACCCGCCAATAGATATTTATAAACCCTATAATTTTTATATTTAACTTTTTGTGGTACCTCCTATATTTTACCTAATAATCGACCGTTTCCATATATAACAGGACCCTGTATATACAGGGTGAGTCTTAGATAACTGCACATATTTTCTGAGATGGTATAAGATTCCCTTTACCGTTTTTCAAATAAGTTCATAATAGTGGTCTTGAGTTACACAACCAATGGATTTTTTTTGGGTTTTTGTTTCTCAAAATTTAATCTACTACCTAATTATATGTTCTTTAAATGAAAACTAAATACAATTATTCCAAAAAATACTAATTTTTAAAATGTGTTCCCCTAAAAATGCACTTATTTAAGACTTACCCTGTATATGCTGGAACATAAATTAAAAAGCTGTATATAGTAGGGCTTTATCAGTACTTACCTATATGCGAAAGGTATAATATAATTTTACTAACGGTAAGTTAAAAAAGTGTGGCGAAGAGGATTTTCTGAAGATTATGTTTTACAACAGGGAATTGTCCTCCCTAGGGAGACCTGTCTCTCGTATCAGGAGCTTATATTTGTTAGTCCCGTGCATCTGCTTCGGATAAAAAAGGAACGTAATAAATACAAGCAAATGAAGAGAGTTCTCAATTTATATATTATAATTTAATCAGGTTTACGAGGAATAATGGCTTTGAAAAGAAAAATATATCAGAGGTATTTACAGTATATTGTATATTACCCAATTCACAGGGCATTATATTCGAAGATAAATTATAAAAATTAACAGTATAGGGTGGTGAATGCCTATGTTGACAAATAGGACTGGTGAAGATAAAATCAAATTTAATTTTATTATTACACCTCTATTTTATAAAGCTACGAACAGTTTACTTTTTAAATGACAATAATTATTAAATGTAAACTCTTTTTTATAGAAAACATACATGTTATAATAATTTTCAATATTTCGTGAAAAATATAATTTTGTTTGGGTTTTTTACCATAATAAAACACTAAATCACCACAATACACTAAAACACTTTACATACTTACTTTTACACTGACCGCGCGTTTCGCTAACCATGTTAGCATTATCATCAGAT